GCGTTCATGCAGGGCGAGATAGCCACCATCCTGGCTGGAGACGTCAAAGTAAAAAAGGAGAGGGACCCTTGATTTTATGCTCATAAGGACAAACAAAAAAATAAAAAAATAAAAAACTAATCAAATATAAGTAAATAAATATAAATTACACACATACCATCCAAACAAAAACTAACGGACTTGTACAGTGGACACAAGGGGAGTGTATACTTCGTAAACATGGCTGTATAATTTTTGATTTTTGAATACGTTGTGTTTCTATATTTTTGAAGATAAAAAAAGGTATGTGCTTGTTATAATGGACTTCCTCTGCTCCTTTCTGTTGATGTTAAACGAATTCTCGATGTATCCTTCGGTCTGGTGGCAGTTCCTGTTAAACGTAGGATGTGAACATGCGCTACTCACATGGCACTTGGCGAATCTCAGATGCTTCTAGCTGTACTTGTATGCACTTGTTTTAAAAAAATTGCCAAATACAATTTCTGACCTTGTAATAATAACAAAGTGTCTGTGATGTGCTTATTCCCCATGCAGGCGTGCATGCGTGGGTGGGGGTGGGGGTGGGGGTGGTTAATGTCCAGATAGTAGGTCCTAGAAACCAAGCCCTTGCAGCGAGGTGGAAGGTGGAGTGCTGGAATGACCTCGAGGTGTAAACACGTCGTTGCATCACGCAGTAACATGGGCACAAAGGTTGTGGTTTTTCCTGTTTGCTTTTTCGTTTTTGTTTTTTTTTGGGGGTGGGGGAGTGGGGTGGGGAGAGAGACCTCAGTCACTGTCTAAAGTGTGCCCTTCCAAAAATAAGCCGGTATTTGCGTTGTTGAGACCTTATCGAGGTCGTGTTACTGTAACTGAATGCCTTGACATGACCCATTGCCCTGGCTCTCCTAAGAGTCCCTTTTAACCCTTGAGTTATACACTTTTTTCGCTAGTTTTCCTTTGTTTATATATTGTTATTGTAATTAATGCCACCATATGTCACGCTTACCCCCTTCAGCTATGTCAAAAATAACCTGTATGTGCATAGCACGCACTGTTAACCATGTCAGTACTAAGCGCTCTGTCTGTTCTGTGCCGCTTTTGGTCATCCTGCGTTAATAGACGTGGCGTGATGGGTCTGAATTCTGCGTTGGTGAGAACATGAGAATGAGCTGCGTTCTGCTGGGGGGTCGTTCCGGCTTTTCACGGTGCCATGAATGTACCCAGAGATGTCCCGTGGCAGGTTATTTCTGTGCGGTCTGACTTTGCTGTCTGGCTTTGTGGGGGGTGGGTTACCTGCCATGTGAGAATGGGAACACGTTGCAGAAAGTGAAACCGTGTACGTTTTTAACGGCTTCGGACGCCACAGCAGTGCAAAAAAGCGCAGTGCACACCCCAGCTCCGTGTTTTTGTTAGGCGGCCGTGAATCACGCCGTCTTCTGCAAGTGAGACATGGAACCGGGGTGGGGGGGGATTTTGGGACACATTGAGGCTCCCGGCAGCATGTTTGGGGCTGTCTGCACATCATCACTGACCTGTTCATTCATCATTGCAGAATGTTGTGTTTTTCTCTCGTCATGTGTGACAGGTCAGCCTTTTAGCAACTTTTGGAATTTCAAGTCTTCTGTCCCTTGTCCAGCTTCCACCCTCCCCATTCACGAGGGCATCTTGTGAATAATACAGGCAGATAATATATATGTAGTTTCTGGGTTGCAGCAGAACAACACAGCGAATGGCAAAGCTAATGATTAGCAGAGACGTGCGCTAATATTCTGTCTTGCATTTTGTGTCTAATTTTTCTTTTACTTTTTAATGTGGTGTATTCTGGCCAGTCCCTGCTTATGAATCCTCACTGAGGGAGAGATGTAGTTGTCAGTGTTCCTACGAGCAACTTTTTGTCAGGGTGTCATCCCATATTGGTCCAAATATGAAGTGGCAGTTATCAGGTCTCTGAAACAAGGGTCGTTCAATGAAAATAAGTAAATGGGGTCACTTATCCGTGGAATCCCCGTTACTGTCGCCGTTTATGGAAGCCGCAAGACCATGCAGTTTGTCAGGGTGACCAGAGCTTGCGCGATTCGGTGTTGTCATGTGGCGACTGTACCTGCAATGTTAGGTCTCGGTTAACGCCCCCCATGCCAAACACGGTGACGTAACACTTCAAACTGAGAATCGGCGCTCTGCAAACCGAAGGACGTTCACTCATTTCGGGTCATGTGACAGAAACACTGTTTTGCATATGAATTTCATCAGCTTTTAATTGTATCATATCGTGTAACCAGATATTACATTATATTTGCTCCTGTTACTGTCTTAGGTGATCTAAAGCCATCTCTAAGAATAGTTTTGAAGGGATAACATTTCTGTTGTCCTACTTAACTTGGATCTGAGTATCTTAGCCTGTTGTTGTCAGACTTGATACCTTTTCTACCTTAAGGGGCACAAAAGTCACTGGTTTGGTTGTCCGGGGACACGAATGACATCGTGCGTGTGACACGTCACGTGTGGGTCCGCGTGTAACCCTAACCAAAGAGGACATCGCTTCTCTTCCTCACGGTGTAATGCGAGCAGCAGAGAGCGGGTCGGCAAGAATCGACCTCGAGGCCTGGAGAGCGTCAGTACGGAAAACGAAAGCGTCAACGCAAGGCTAAATGGAGACTCTGTCATCCCACCTGTGGGGTGTGGGGGAAGGGGGGCGGAATGTTCCGGCAGTCAGCAGCACATCAGGCCAGAGTGGTGTCGCTGTCACTTTAAATTCCAACCGGGTGGGCTCCCTTCTCTTTATCTGTCACTGAAACTCAACACCCCAAGAAAGAATCCCGGCCATTAGAGATTAATAGGTCCACTCGAGTTACACAGCACAATTCGGAAAAGGTCCATAGGCCTCCTTTTTCATTGTGTCTGCTCGACGGCCCTTCCAGGAGCCCCCGGTACAGTTCCCCGTGTGCAGTGAGATATTTCTAGACCATGTTCTTAGCGATGAAAGGGCGTAAATATTTAAGGAATGCCGATCGTGCTCAGCACTTGTACGTGGATACCCATCCTTTAACTATTATTCTGGTCTAAATGTAATATTCAATTACTTTTCTAACATTACTCACTGCTTTAATGAGTATTTGTTGGACGACTCACACAAACCCCAGTGACCAATAATTTGCTGCTTTCTATAATTAAATATCTGAGTCCATCAAATTGCCATTCAGTGACATCACAACGTTAATATAAAAAATAATTTTCTTCCGGTTTCTGTATACATACCCTATGATCTTATATGAACATTTATTAATATGTTATAAGAACATAATACTTTCTTTGTGATGGAATATTCAGTAATGTTATACTGAATCATTTTTATTTCCAACCGTAATAACCAAATAATAACCCTTCTAGTGCTTGGGATCCATAGGCCTGACTGGGAGTCTCTGGGCTAGATCCTCACCCTGAAAGTCACTGTTCTCTGCTTGAAATCATTCAGGTGTTAACCAGGCATCACATGGTTCAATTTATGTCCATTTGCTTCACATGCCGGCTTTTGAAGCAGATTTCCTTGTGACGTTAGCATGCTAGCCGGTTAGCTATTAAGCCCTTTGCCGGCTTCCCGTGTCATATGGGGAAACTTGCACAGTCATGGCTGGTACAGAAATGCAGTCAAGGGAGCGTTAGGGAGCCTAGGGAGAAGCTGGATGAGGCATGTGAAAAGTGTAGCTGATTTTTGAAATTTGTGGCCAAGCAGCAAAATTCATGTTTAAATCTCGTGTCTCTCTGCAATGCACGTGCCCTGGTTTCTGTTGATCTCGCAGTTATTTGCCCAGAGGCCAGACTGGAGGAGGGAGCTTCATGAATGGGATCGGAAAGGTCATGTATCCAATATAACGTCAGTGCAGCGTGACGGCCAGCGGTGGTGGAGGCCCAGTGGGCAGGGCGGGGGTCCCGAGTCCTGCCTGCCACATCGGCAGCGTGATCTGGCTCACTCGGGGTGTCCTGGACAATGCCGATCTTGGGTGATTTAAAAAAAAACAAAACAAAAAAAACAGAAACACATGCACCCACACGCGTGCTTTGCACATTCCATGAGTTTGCAGCCATAGTCAAAGAACAACATTGAAGGGAGCAGGGTGGGTGGAGTGAGGGGGGGGGGATTCACCAGCTGCACTCACTATAATTAGACAGAAAACAGACTGGCTTCTGCTGCCATTAATCACCAGCATCCAACTCCAAGAAAGGAATCTGAGTTCTGTTGACTCGAAGTCTTTATCTGGAAAGGGTCACGTCCAGCCAAATTTAGTGCTCGCATGCTGCGGTAACTTTGGACGTGTCATGGTAGGGTTCTGTTGCCTGGTTACCTTTCGGAAAAGTAAACAGAGGGTCTCTGGATGTATCCCTTTGATTCACAAATGGTGAGACCTTTCTCATCTAAACCTGGTCTACATTTATGTGCCCGCCCCCAAGAATCAGCAAGAAGTGACAGAGCTTGGGAAGTAGGAAGGAAGGTTGATAATGAAATCAAACTGACATGCAGCGATTTCTTCAGCAACGTGTGGTCTTCTGGTCGTACTTTGATGTGTGGTTCAAGTTCCCCATGATTATACCAGTGCCCCGCTAAAGTCTGACTGATATTAAGGGTTTTTAAGTATCCAATTGAAGCTGGCCGGTATGAGATAAGGTTCTGAGGATTGGAAAGTCAGGAGCTTGGCCAAGCTACGAGAGGAGATAACATATGTTTGCCGTCTCCTGTGACGTACGTTACCTTTATCTTCTGGAGGGTAGATCTGAGATCGACAGACTCCATTACTACTATTTGGTCGACCTCGAGTCAAGGTTACAGAAAGTGATGAATTGCTTCATACATCGCTGGGGACCTCCCACTGCTCCGTTACCGGTGCTACAGACCATCCTCCGCTGCTGACTAAAATCCCATGCGGCATTAGCAGCACTGCAAACAGAAACACAATAACACGGATAGATGCATTCAGATATAACCTGCAAAGTATTTTATTGATGAGTGTTTTATTTGTATTTAACAGATGCTTTTGTCTGAAGCGACGTATGAGTGAAGAAAGCAAGGAAACAAAGAGTGTTGGTGTTGAAGAGTTGGGCTTAAGGTTCTTTGCTCAAGGGCCAAACAGTGATATGAGTACTCTGCCGGCCGCAGGATTTGAACCCATGACCTTTCGGACGCAGGTACAAAGTTACACATAGCCCCCAATCAGTTACATTACAATATTACCATATTCAATATTGCAATATTCAGTTACATTCTGACAACATGAGTAGTAGTTAGATGTATTAGGCTGACTGCCTATTCGGATTTCTCTTTTCATAGTTTATGGAAGCAAAATGTGCTTCTATGGTGTAATTGACTTATGTTTGTTTTTCTTTTGATGTAGTGCTTTTCAAAGTTTCGGTTTTGGCACTCGGTGGAATCGCCACTCGTCTGCTGTTTGAAGAACGGATTCCTGTCTCCTGTCTCATCTGAGGCGGCTCTGAGCAAAAAAAAGGCTTTTCTTTCTTTGCTTTCGAAAGCCGGTGTCCCGTTTCAGGAAGCGCCACCTCAGATCAGTCCTCCTGAGCAGATATTTCACGTCCTTCCTGTCTTTCACGCGTCGCCGGGGAAACGGCTACTTCGGCCTGGTTATTCTCCAATGGCGTGACGGAAGGCAAGCATATCCGTGGGGGATTTGTCCTGCATTTGCCTCTACAGGCCTATAAAGGCAAACTTTGTAATCGAACATTGCACTACGTGTTGACTATGTTCCCTGGCTCTACGGATAACGCTGCCTGACCCCTGAAGCCGCTTGTTAATGTGTAACAGCTCTCAGCCGGCGCTGTTTGATTTGCACAGTACAATCTCTTCCGTTGTTAAAGTGACACAAGCCTTTGAACTCTTGGCACTCTCTGATTTTAGCATAACTGAATGACCGTTGGACCAAAACCAATTAAAACTGTGGGCCTCAGTGACGTCAGACCCCAGTGATGAAACTGGCCTCCTCGGAAGTATTGGGAATGGCGAGTCGAGAGATTCTGGTGAAAAGGAATACTCAGTTCCTGTGTCTTGAATAAATTTTTATGCGATTGGCTGATGACAAGGTTCAGTTTAAACAACATGTTTGCTTATGAAATGAAGGATTATTCCCTAGCTTGGTGCATTGCAAAAAAGAGCACAACAGAGTCATGCCGTTGTTTGTGGTTTCTAATATCTCTTCACTCCTAAATTATGCATTCATCGTCCCGGAAGGAAAATCAAGCCTTCTTGTCTTCTGTTTTATGAGTGGGGTCCATTGATCAAGACAGAACCCTGGTCTTAGTCATAAAAACCCGCATCTGTTTATCTTTTTAATGTTTATCTATCGAAGCAATTTCAGCCACCCCAGATGTCAGCCAGGGGCAGTGGGGATGCAGCTCAGTAAACTCGATTTCTTGGCTTTTGTCCGACGGCTTGGTGAAGGGGTCATGATGGAGCCAAAGTCCAGGCTGACGCTTGGGTGCTTTTCTCATGTCAGTGTGCGCTCTGGTTATCGTGTAATCTAGCTGTTTAATGATTGCTAATCTGCTTTCAAAAAAGTTTATTTTCTACCGTTTTTCCTAGGAGTTGGTGCATCATGCATTAATTAGTACATGCTGTGAGTCATACGTTTTTATATCAGGACAGTATACATTGATTTTGGATCTTCAATCGAGAAATACCTAGTAGTGTTATTTAATTTAATATAAATAGTAAAATTAGTATTATATTATCTTAAACTCTAAAATATGGAAACCATTTCAGCAATGGATTTTCAAAAAAAAGTCTTTTGGGAGCATTTATCATTTACACACACACACACACACACAGGCACAGGTTTGTAATTATATCTTTGTGGGGACTCTCCATTCATTTCTATGGGGAAAACTCTAATCCCAACATGACGACCCTTGCCTAGCCCTAACCTTAACCATAAGTAACCAAACAAAATGCACGACTTTCGCCATTTTAACTTTTTTGATTGCATGAAAAATGGTCTCCACAATGTCAAAAAAGCTGGTTTTTATTACATTTGTGGGGGATATTTGGTCCCCGCAATGTAACATAAACCTAATCCACACACACACACACTCGTTTGGACACACCTACTGGCATGTTTTTCAACGGGACAATGACCCCAAGAACACCTCCGGCCTTGTGTAAGAGCAATTTGAAAAGAAGCGGATTGAGGGAGTATTACAGCAGACAGCCCGTCCTCCAAACCCAAACCCAGCAGAGATGTCTTGGGATGAGCAGCTGACGAGTGCTCAGCTTATGTAGGAACTCCTGTAGTAATGTCGGAAAATCATCCCAGGTGGCCGATTCATGAGGCTGCATGAAGGAAAGTCAACCGTTGCAAGACGGTCGTCAAGGCGACACCTGGCTACTCTGAAATGATGCCGCTTCTTTGTTCCATATAATATTATGAAATGTAGAAATCAGTTAATGAAAAGAAAGAATAGGTGTGTCCAAACTTTTGTATTGTACTTTTGCCTTAAATGCATTGCTAGGACTGTCATACATAATCAAAATAAAATAATTATACATTCATTTTATAATACCTACTTGGCGTGTTTTTAATTTGAGTTTTAAAGGGCTTTTGTGGGACTTTGTGTCCATTAATTTCCATGATATTTTATCAGCACTAGAGGAATATTCCCCTTACTGTGCTTGGTGACTTTTATTAGGCAAATATTATTTACAATTGCTTTCCTGGGTTTCCAGCTGTTGCAAAATTTATATGACTGGTATAAAACTTTCCAGAAGCATCCATCTCCCTCAAGTTAAAAGTAAACTAGGTTTGATATCTAACTAATGTCTTTAAGATCTTTTGGGAAGCTGTCTGCAGATATGTCTGGCATTTTCTCAAGCTATAAAGTGCTAAAAACACCATTTTATTTCATTTCATTCTGCAGAACGAGGCGTTCCTGCCAGAGACAATGAGCAATCATGAGTAAGTGGTGGCTTTGAAGAGCAGACCGTTGTTTTGCTCTGAAGCGATCGAACGGTTCGGTGTCATGGGAAGTCCTTGACCAGGTAGCATTGGAGAAGGCCGGTGTGGTGACTGACTTTGAGGTTTCTGAGAAACCTGCCTTTCAGAAAAACAGAACAGCCAACTTTTCCCATATGCATTTACAGGATGTTCTCTGAATCTTCAAAGGAGATCTGAAGAAGGTTTTTGGTACTGAAACGCTGCATGTTTTCCAGTTCTGGTAGAGGACAATAGGTGTGCCTTTTCTTTGACCACATAGTCACCATTGCACTGTAATCATACATGTAGCTAGTTTAAAGCTGAAACATGTTGTGGGTTGCAGTGAGACAAGTACAGATTGTATCTTTTTTTAAATCAAGGGAATCCCCCCACAAGCCCAGAAAACAGCACCAGCCTGTTATACTATTCATATTTTGCCAGTCATTTTTGCTGCTGGGATTTTGTTACCAGTCTGAACTTTGTGTTCTAGACTGTTGGTGACTGGCAACCCAGTTAGCAACTGTTTGCCTGATGGAATCCATGGCTATTATTTGGTGCTCAGCATTTCTTCTGAAGTCCAAAGTCCGGCTCCGTTTTCCTGGAGGAGAGAGATAATAAAAAAAAACATGATCACATGGAATGGTTCTCAGGGAAAAGTAGAAACCGCAAACCATGTGACACAGCGGTGAGAGGAATTACGACAGAGCTGGACAAAATACCAGTGACACTGCGTGGAGTATTAACCTTTGCCAGGCTGGTGAATCGTGACTCTATGACTTTTTTCCCCAAACTGCTTTATTTACCCATTGTCTATTGCGGCAATTCATAGTTTGTTTATTTAAAATGCAACACCAGTTCATTTAATATCCTGTAAGAAGCAATGACTAATTGTCACAACCCTAGGATATCAAGCTGAGAGAGTTTTTGGGTCATGTCTTTGGTACGTAAGAGGTAGACATTTCCGGTCCTGAAAGTAAAAATCCACATCAAGATTTTGTTTCAACCAACCAGTTGAACACCAGTTGACTGTGACTCTTTATATTCAGCTGGTTGGTTGAAACATAATCATGGACCGGATTTTTACTTTCTGGATCGAAAATGTCCACCTTTGGTGTGTAAGTAGTTGTTATGCAGGCTTTCAGGTGAGGATAGGGTCGTCACCCAAAGCCTTTTTATATGCCTGTATTTGATTTCAGGTGAAAAACTGGCATCACCGAACACTTTTGGTCCAGGTTATTGAACGCATCCTATTCCAAATGAAACTATAGTATCCATCCATCCACTTATTCAGTATATGGTCACAGTGAGTCTAAAGTCTATCTGAGGAAGTCCAGGGCTTAAGGGAGAGGACACCTTAGATGGGATACCAACCAATTACAGAACACTCAAGCAATCACACTATGGACAATTTAGAGATGACATTTCACCTAATGTCATGTTTTTGGACTGTGGGAGGAAATCGATGACACAATGGGGAAACCCGTCCAGGCACCCAGGGGCCCAACATGCACAGCCGTTGTCACCCTAGCGGAATCTGACATTTCACAACAAAGAAGAACCAAACCTTAGCCATTTTGCATCAACGGTGAGTCAACTGGACGTGACCTTACTGTCTCACCGCTGCAGGCTCATGCTGGAGACAAGGGCGCGTAAAACATGCAGCCTGAGCTTTTGCAAAGTTCCCAAAACAATAGTTTCGATAAAATAATGAACAATAAGTTTGATGGGAAGTTCCCCCGAATTCGCACTCCATAATCACGCCAGTTTCCCCTCATATAGGGAAGCTTCCATTCATAAAAAAAGACACATAAATCATGGAAAAATGAACAAAAGCCATGAATGGATTTGCAGCTAACGTTTGTTTCCCTTCAGTGCAAAAACATTTTTTTTCTGTTAGAGTAGAATCGCCTGACAGCTGACAGAGCGGGTGGATGTGAGCACAGTGAAACAGCACAGCGAAACAGCACAGTGAAACAGCACAGCCCAAGTTGGCTAACAGAGCAGAGTGCAAGCAGGCGGCCCGCGCAGGACAGCGAGCTTGTGCCCGCGTCCATGCCGACGGCATGCTGCAAGGCTGATTAAAATGCGACTGAAAGGGCTTATTCTTTACAGTTTGCATGACTAATGCGCCTTCTGCAATGGAGGCTTCTAAATTTAGCGAGTGATGTCAAGCGGGTGCCTGGATGCTCTGGGCACACTGTAGAGAGGACCGTCATCCACATGATGGCTGAAATCACCACTGGCCTTGTGCAGCAGCTGCTCACCGCGCTGAAGTTCCCTACTACAAAAAAAACTTTTTTTGGGAGTTTTAACTCTCTCTCACTCACTCTCTCTCTCCCTTCCTCTCTCTCTTCTCCCATCTCTTTCTGGTATAGCAGTAAAATGGAACACGCCACTCCTATTCCCACATGAAAACGAGGCTGTTTGTGCGCCTGGAATGTTTTTCTTGTAGGTCTTGGAGTGCAGTCAAAACGCAGAACTGGAGCAAGTAGCATGGCAAGGGGTGGAGTGCCAGGCAGGACGGGGGGGGGGGATGGTTAAAACAGGCCTCGGAAAAAACGAAAAACTCGGACGGCTGCGTTCTGCGCATGGAGACAGTGACTCCATCCAGCAGGATCTGGATCAGCTGATGAAAAGCGTTGGGGGGTAGGAAGGACCTCAGCATTTCCAAGCGACACAGACGGAGCACTTGGGGGAGAGGGGGTGGAGAACAGGAAGTTCATGAGGAGTTAATGGGAAAACCTACTGTCGGATCCCGGGACTGTAACGTGCTGCCAAAGCCACGGCGAGATGCTGACCAGATGTGCCACATGTGGACGTGTGTTTTGGCATTGGGGGGTATGGAATTGCTCTTGGTGCACCCTCCCCTGTATCCCTGCCTTTGAGTGTGAGAGAGAGACAGAGAGACAGAGAGACAGAGACAGAGAGACAGAGACAGAGAGACAGAGACAAAGACAGAGACAGAGACAGAGACAGAGACAGAGACAGAGACAGAGAGAGCTTGACCTGAAAGAGTGATCATCCCTTGCAATGGGACACAGCTTGTTACTGTCTGTCATAATTCTGCCAAAAATAACATGGTGGACCTCAAACTGGATTCCTATCGCAGGAAGCGAGATCAGTCCCGGCTTCCATCTTCCTGAACAGCCAGCCAGCTTTTCACCTGACTTACGGATAAAGGAATAATTCATTTATTTGGGGCCATTTTCAAGTGCAGAAAATGAGAGCTGCAAGTTATTTCCCTAGTTTTCCCCAATTCTTACCAAAATAAAAATAGAGGAGCCAGCGGTCATCCCGCTTGATCCGCTGCATGTGGCTCATGTCTCGGACAACAGCTGGATGAAGCGGAAATCTTTGACTGGAGCTTTTATGGTCTGCAATAAATAAATAAATGGTCTATATTTGTCACAATCTCATCTTGCTGTGTTATTTGCTCGCTGTAAATTCCTTGGACTTTGTCCCACAATGGCCCCTCCAGTAAAAAAAAAATTGCAATTTATTTTTGGATTGAAAGAAAATCTTGACACACAACAGCGAAGGCCCAGAAACACTAGATCTACAGCTCAAACCCAAGACAAATGGGCTTGGTCCCGAGCTCTATTCCTCTCAGATGAATTACATTAGCAGTGCAATTTATTTACTTCAGATGCTTTTATCCAATGCAATATACATTCTGCAGGGTCAGACAGTCCCTGGAACAATTGGTGGTTAGGGGCCTTACTCACAGACCCAACCGTGAAATCATTCTGCTAACTTTGGGATTTGAACTGGTGACCTTCTGAATTACAGACAGTGCACAGTAACCTGTGGAGCTGCACGCCACAAGCTTTAAGTTTGGCCATGTGACCAAATTGTGATG